GTCATGACTGTCCACAGTGAGTGAGAAGCTCGAGTCCCGCTGGCATTTGCCTCACTGAAGAAGATCTCAACAGAGCTACTGCCTCTACCAACCGTTTGCGTTTGCTCTTTTTATTATGGCTTTGTATGTCGGCATTTCACATGGGCGACTGAAAGTAAATGGTAAATGGACTTGAGCTTATATAGCACTTTTCTATTCTTCAGACTTCTCAAAGGGCTTTTACACCGCATGTCACACCTACCCATTCACACACTGATGGCAGTGGTTGCTATGAAGACCATCAGGCTGTAGCCTGGAGCTCTTTGGAAAACGGTGGCTTCCTTTTGGACTTGACAGCTAGCCTACCTGTCATTACACAGCAGGTCTTGTTAGCATGAGAAGCTAGGCTCGCTTAGAAACAGCCGCAACCTCGAGATTGATTGACACGTGAAGACAAAGCAGTGTTGAACTTTGACATGTTTTAGTGATGTTTTTATCTTGGTTAAAACAGCAGCAGCCTCGGCATCAACATTGGTTGACATATAAAGAGACAAATCAGTGTTTCAGACATGGTGTAGTGTTTTAGTTGGTTAAAACCGGAACAGGGACTGTCCAAAAAAGTTTCCGGTTACATAATTTACATATTAAGCAATACTACAGGTCTGTTGGGCAGTGAGCCCACCAGAGAATAAACCTTCATAGAGGCAAATAAGGTGGTGAACAAACACATCTGGAGGTGCTCTCACTCTTTGTCTTTGGACACAGACATAGTGTCTGTTTTCTGCCAGGAATTTCCAAGATCAATTCTGGAAGAAATCTCTGAATCAGTTGAGGAAATGGCCTCATGTGTTGAAGTAAATATGTCTGTAAATATTTTTATTACTATATTTCTACTGCTATACTGTATATTTTGGAGAAACTGTATCGATCGAATTTCCCTCTGGGATTAATAAAGTATTTCTGATTCTGATTCTGAACTAGAGGACCTTAGTGGGAGTGGCCTGCGTTGCTGTGCATTCTGGGATTTGGTGTCTTTCATCCAAGAGCCAAAAAGACACTTTCTGCCTTTTCTCAGCCAAGAAGGCACCAACTTCAAAATTTATTTCACATTTCTACTACATATATAACCCAATGTCAATACAGAGTCATGTTTCAATGGGTGAAGTATCCCTTTAATGTGGAAGAGCGTAATCATGGTTTCAGGAGCAGATGGTCTCCAAGTCGAATGTCAAATGGTCATTAATGTATTTTCTGTGTTGCAGACCGGGAAGCACCATCGGACATTATACCATAAGAGGACCTTCATTATCAGACACAGAGCTTCAAGCTATACAAACAGGGATCTTTCTAGACCTGTCGGAAACCTACCCTATGATATTTGACAGTATGACAGGTTTAATTTTTCTCTAATAAATGAAGGAAACTATATTTTTCTGTAATTTTTGCAATGGTTCCATACACATTTTTATCTTATTTGATCATTTTGTACACTTGTTTGCACATTTGAAACCTTTGTTCTTTTTTTCCTAGGTCAGTCATCCTTAAAGTTGGAACCGACTACAGTTATCTCACAGCAAGAGGCAACTGTGACATGTGGTCCTCCTCCAGCTGATCTCAATTTAGGAACCAACTGGATTGCAGAGTGGAGGTTCAACAACAGACCATTAACCAGAGATGAAAATCTCTATGAATTTTCAAAAGTGAATGAAAAAGCAGTGTTAACTCTGAAAAGATTCTTTGGTACAGACATTGGTAAGAAATCATTCAAGTAATATGCATTTCATCTGTAGATTTTATTTCTGTCTCCAAAGCTGCTTTATCGTATCCCATATCTAGTTAATTTCAGGAGGACTGCTCCTGAAATAAAACCCATAGTTTTTGCATCAGTCTTTTTTGCCGTCACCATTACACCTCTTGTCTTTCCCTTTACTTTCTCAGCTCATATGGTCATGGCAGATGGCTTATCAATAATGAGTCTCGTTCTGCTCGTTATTTCTGCCTCTTACTGGAAGTTTTTTCCTTTCCACTGTCGCTAATGGTGGAGAAATGTTGGGTTTCGCTGAGTGTCCGCTTGAGGTCACATACAAACCCATTCAAAAAAGCCTGTTTTTTACAGCACAAATTAACATTTTTAAGGCCTGGTACAAAAAATAAATAGGTCTGATTAGTTATTGTCCTGATCGGCACACACTGTAAGGAGGTGTTCTTTTTTAGAACTGCTCCATTTTGATGTTATGAATGATACGTGTTATCCATAGTTAGGCGCGTAGCTGACATGATTGACAGACAGGTGTTTTCTAATGGTTTTTCAGGAGCCTTAAAACCCACCTGAGCCCCAGCTCTCAATCTGTCCTTAGGTTGACTGAAAATCAATGAGCCTCCGGAGCCTCCTGCAGGAACGTCATTAATATCTAGTCTTTGATTTTGATCTGCTCAATTTGTTAATTGTCATGAGATATTTTTTACATGACATTTCACTATAAGAATAACAAGTGACCGATTCATTGATTTCAGTATATATCTAAAGCCCAGAATTTAAAAGTTAAATTGCAGGGCAAGGAATCGATACTGACAAATGCCAAAGTACGCAGTAATGCATAATTAGTCAATAATAGACACCCTAGTTATGACTAAATATTTGGCAGATATCTACATTCAGTCTCCTATTGTGTTTCTGGAAACTGGCAGGAAATGAAATTAAAATTAAAGCAAACCATGAAAAGTCCTGAAACTGAAACCCAGCTAGTAAAAACCTTTGACAATGAGGCTAATGTTGATCAGGTTTTTATTATTATTACTTATTATTATTATATTATACTATTATTTTTATTATTTTATTTATATTTATTTATATGTTGATGTTGTTGTTTATATTAAGAGAAAAACTAAAGAAAGGCAATAACATAGACTGCATAAGAAATGGACAGTCAGAAGAGTGAAGTCAACGTGGAAGTGCCTTGAACCTGCATTCTTTCTGATGGCCAGCAGGGGGCAACTTCAGTTATTGCAAAAAGACAGTTTCATAGTATATAGGTGTACCATAAAACGGCCTGTCAACCCAACTCAGTCATCTTCAATACAGCATGATGCTTTGTTTTGTACATTTAGGTCCCATTTAGAGTAAAATAGACGATTAAAGATAGAATGTGCGACATTATCCACATAAATGAATCAGAATGAAGTACATCCTCTGTAACTAGAGACAAGAAGAAGAACATGCTCACTGCTTATTTGAATGTCACAGAAGCGTTTTTAGATCATGGCCATTCAGTGTAAATGTATTTGCCATGTGAAGCTACGAGCTAACTAAAGTGTGCTAAAATTAGCACACTAACACAACAATGCAGCACGAGACAAGGACAATTTTGTCCAGCACTTGCATTTGGCGCTTAATTAATGTTCGTTCCAATTTTATTACTCGATTTTGCACCAAAATCAGAGGAGAGGGGGGGTTGGAGGTGTGTCGCTGTAGGAGAGAGGAGGATTTAGTGAGGAGGAGCTGTGGCCAAACAGCAGTTTGTTTTAGTTTCATGCTGGTGCTCAAGGGCGACACCTGCTGCATCAAAAAAATGCATGTAAAGCCTTTAAAGGTAAAAAGGCCTCAGAAATAACTTTTTAAAAAACCAATATGAGCCAATTTGGGTAGGTTATCGTAAAATTGCACCAAATTAAATTCCACTTAAAAACAAATAAAATTGTCTTAAAATGCCTTTGCTAAAAGTGGTCTAAAAGAGAGGAATAGGAGTCTGATAAAATAAGGGAGAGCTAAAAGTCCAGCACTTAAAAAGTATTAGCCTAAAAGTCACTCAATTCCAACAAAATTAAAAAAGTGAGCAAATTGACCCGATCATCTGCGACTGCCCACGCCTTCTGCTTCCCTTGTAGGGTCTCCTCTCGTCGCTTGACACATACACGGGCTGCAGGCTGGGCACTGCCGAAACAAGAAAATTGTGCCTACCCACACCAAATCACACAACCACCGACCGTAATTCTAAAACCAGAGTGTTAATACTGTCCCAGAGGTATACTCACACCGCTGGCAGAGCTCCTGACTGGCTCTCTTGTCTCGTCTCTCGGCATCTCTTGCAGCAGGTCCTTCTCCGTCCTCCTGCGCCGTTGCTCCGCTCTCATGTTGTGTTCTTAAGTTTCCGGGGACTGCTCTCTCGTTCACCTAATCTGCCTCTCGTCTGTCTCTCTCTCCTCTGATTTCTTCCTGTTTTTTCTTCCGTGTTTCTTGTTTATGACCCTCCCCTTTGCCGCCGATTGGACAAAGCAGCTCTGTTGTTGCTCCTCACTGAGCATGAAATAAAACAAAGCTACACAGATGCAGGTAATCTGTCATCAGTCTCCCAAAGGCAGAAAGATATATATATATATCAATATAAAAACAAGCATAAAACCAAGAGTATTGATAAAAACACAGCAATGGCAATCAAATAAAACCAAATCGTAAATATCACAACATGAATAAAACCCAAAGTATCAAAGCATGCGTAGAAGAATGTGCAATATCAGATAATAACTTCTGCCTTATTACACATGTAATAAAAAAAAGTATCTAAAGTATGGTTAGAACATTAGGACATTAAAAGTCACTACATGAATGCTGCTTCAGATTGTTTCCATTTCCAAACCCGGTGTTGCTACTTCACATTAACTTTAAATCCCCTTTGATTTTTAGGTCAATATGAATGTAGGCTGAAGTCAGAAAATGGCAAGAAAGTCTTCAGAGAGAGATCCAATCAAAGCTTTACACAGTCCAAGAGCAACCTCTGATACGACTGACGCCGCTCAGCAGACAAATCCATTGTGAGGTCATAAGAGAAGTGAAAATAGAGTGCTTTGTCAACGAACCCTACACTGTTGAGTTAAGAAACTCGACTGGAGGTAAGCCTGAACCAAACAAACACCAAAAGGCTAATCTTTTATATTTTATATTCATATTAATAAATTGAATTCTTGCAGTCTTAGACACAGGTAAATCTAATATAAGCTACAATATTACCATCAACTGTGACGACATGGAACATACATTCACCTGTCAAGTGAAAGACCAAAGAATCGAAAAATCAAAACAAACTACGCTGGAGATAACTCCAGGAGGTAAGTGTTGATTAAAGGGAATGAAATACAGATCAGATCAAAATATTTTTCTTCCCTTGAAAGTAATGTTGTTTCATTCATTTCTTTGTTCCTAGATTACGTTTGTAAAGATGCTGCATTTGGTACTGGAAATCTTGACCAGATGTCCTTCGGTTCCTGTGAACGTGACGAGGTGGGAGAGAGGAAAGGAGTTTGTCAGGAAGATGGATCATGGAGAGAAGTTGAAAACAACTGTATCCTAGGACCGGTTCAGGAGCTGCTCCTGCAGTCTGACGTGAGGAATTTACCAGCACATGCTTACACAACATATTTTTAATAATAATAATTTGGGGGCCTCAAGCAAACTCCTTGCTGCTCCAGCCTTTGTCACAAAAATCAGGCTACTGGTAACTTTTTCTTTTCTAAAACTATTATTGTAGAACCACAACGACGTCTGAGCTTCAACTGTATTATCTTTGTCTTTGCATTAATTTAGGACAACCTGTTCTATGACATTACAATTAAATTACAATAAAGAAAGAAGGCTTCATCTAATAATTGAGTTATTAGTCTAAATCATAGACTGTATAAAGATTATTATTAATTTACAGTTTACACTAATATGAGTGTAAGAAGAATCTACATAAAGATTTTTACAGAATGCATTAGCTACAAAAAAAGGCGCACCTTTGCTGGTATATCAAGAATAAAAGACGCCTTAAACACCTACGTTTTCTGGAAGATCTAATCCGCTCATTTTCCGATCACTGGTGGATCAAGGCATTAACTGTTGCTCCCGCGAGATGCCGTTGAGAAACCATAGTAACACACAGTTCCTGTTTCCAGCGGAGAGAGGGATGTTTTTCCCAAAGCCCGTGTATTTATACCCTACGCCTTGATGAAGGGTGCTTCATTCAGCTGCTAGTGTGACAGTTGGCTATATACTTCCTGAATATAAATGTATTGATATTTATTTTGCAAATACAGGTGTCAAGACTCTGCTGTACTGGTGCACACCAAACTATTTTTCACATACCCATTGTCATAAGTCGGCTTATGGGTCATGGCAAAAGACAAGTTTAGAAGAAGTTTACCAAAGAAAACAAATAGTTTATTATAAATAATCAATAATAAGAGTTCTGAGGCGTGTTTAATCTGTATCTTCAGTGGTGAACGTGTGGATGTGTGTGAAATTATGATGTGGTGTGAGGTGTAGAAGATTGCACTAACATTAGTAACTAAAGTAACAATAAGCATCGGTCAGGCTGAGAGAGAGTGAATGAGGGAAACCAGCAGATCTTTGTAGTAGGGCTGGACGATATGACCTCAAATAGATATCAAGATTAATTGAACATTTTAACTCGATTACGATTAATGGGTTTCAATTATTTTGTTCTTGTTTTTTGCCCTGATAGTTAACTGACATGGTCTCTACTGTATACTAAATTATTAAAGCTGGGATATGAAAGTGCGTATCGGATGAACTATTTTGTGGTTATTTATTGAATATTTGGAACTGAAATCAAAGCATCGCTTGAAATGAAAACGACACATTTTAGTTTTTAAGTATAAATGAACTTCTCTAAAACAGTAGAAAATAAATAACTTGCATTTCTTGCAAAACGTGTTTCTGCAGTGTTTACATTCGACTCATTTTTTAAATAATCCTCAAGGGCAAGATTCTGTCGGTGAGAGGTTCTGAGTAATTTTCAATTAATTTTCCAGTCCTACTTTGTAGGCCAGGGTGCACCAGGCCCAGGTGCAGTTTATCCTGCCAATGAGCCTCCAGCCAGGACACACCTCCTGCAGCAATCACACATACTGTACAGACAAACAGCAGCAAGCCAAAGACTCTTAGTGTTCTGGTGAAAGGGTCGTTACACTATAATTCAAACTATAATTCACATTTGCAGTGAAATACTTACAGTCTAGAAGCATGCTTTTATACAGGACTGCAGTGCACCAAAAGTAACAAGAGTACAGTGAAGAAAACATTTAGATCGGCTCTGTTTTAAACCAGACAGATACAATAAAACTGTCTTTACATCTCTCCTGTGTTATATAAAGAGGATGAACAGAGCTTGGACTGTGCCAAGACATTACTTCTTCGAATTGTAAAAACTGAGTATGTTCCACTCATATGCACTTGCAGTAGGATTGTGTAGATGTGGCTGTGGTTCAGTGATAGAGTTGGTCGTCTCTTCAACCTTCTGTCCCCAGGTAAAAGCGACCACGGTGTCCTTGGGCAAGACACTTAACCCCGAAGTCACTCCTGCTGCTTACACGGCGGCATATGAATGTGTACGACTTAGTTAATACTGATGGACTCTTTACGCAGCAGCCTCTACCATCAGGGTGTGAATGTGTAGGTGTGACCTGTGAGGTAAAAGAGCTTTGAGTACTCAGAAGACTAAAAAATAAATATACAAGCTCAAGTCTATTTACCATTAAAGGGGCACTCACAGGCCCAGTTGCTCCGTACTGTGCTGAAGCCCGATTGTTCCCCCTCCCCATTCCTCCGCTGACCTGCACTCATACTGCTCCAGGACAAACCGGGCCTGAGCACGTTGACCTCTTGTACATAACATCGTAATACAACACATGCATGGCTTTAGGTGATACTGAAGCGTGCTCAGTTCATAAGACAGATGGACTCAAAAAATAAAAAAGGCATGAGAGGTTGAGACCGCATCCGCACATTGGAGAACAACACAGAGAACAAGACAGCTACTTTACTGACTTTGTGGCTTATTTTGAGTCATGTTAGTCAGATACAGACAGAACACTCTGGGATTTCTTCATTAACGAAGGCTGTCTATGTTTCCTGCCCGTGGTTGTGCAACTGTACTTAGCCAAAGCACACCGCCTCTAACCGTGCCAAGGCCAAGAACATGTACGGATTGCCTAGTGTGAGGGCGCCCTTAGTCAATTTTTATGGCTTTCCTCCCAACAGAAAAACATTTAGAGCCGTCTTTAATAATAACAACAACTTTGACATCACTTCAATGTTCATTCTTGATATACTTTTAACATTGATGATATTTTTTCTTTCAAATTTCACAGTTGTTGATGCAATTCACTGCCAGGTTTCTTGGACACACTCAGCGATGTCACCGTCAACTTCACTGAGGAAGTGGTTAAATCTCCCACAAACATAAATGCCATTGTTGATATACTCAGCAATGTTGCAAATACATCCCTACCTATTAATAGTGACTTAGCAAAGGTATGTGAACAAGAAGGGTGAGGTTTACTTTATGTAACAGTATACTTTACATTTTACATGGTCTAATGTCTCCTTTCCTATCAATGCAGGATATCCTTCTCACTGCAGGTGTCCTCACCACAGATGGTGCAAGGGAAACCTGGGAGTCCCTGAACAATGACACAAGAAATGCCTCACAGACAGGAAGAAGCTCCACATTCTTGCAGTCACTGGAGACTATAACAGGTCTCATTAATGTCTCTTTAGCAATTGACACACCTTCTATTCTCTTAAACAAAACTACATTCACAGACTCTTTCAATGCCAGCTTTAATTCTTCAGTGACGATAGTTATATCAGAACCTGGTGAAGGAGAGAATATCACTGTGATGACATTTGCTTCAATGGATAACGTTCTCCCCGTGAGATACAAAAAGACAAATTCCTCCAGATTTGACATCAATGGGAGAGTCGTTCTTGTTCAGACCAGCATTGGAAACAGCCCCATTAATATTTCCTTTACATTTAACCTCACTAACACTTCACTGGTGGACCCACAGTGTGTATTCTGGAACTTCAGCCTCTTTGATGATCGGGGGGGATGGGACAACGAAGGCTGTATGCTTGTAGAAATTAAAAATGGAAGCGTCACCTGCAACTGCAACCACCTGACCTCCTTCTCCATCCTTATGTCGCCCTTCGTTAACTGCGAAGTGTGTTCTCTGATAACATTTATTGGAGTTGGCATATCCATGGCCTCCTTGGTCATATGCTTAATAATTGAGGCTGTCATATGGAGAAAAATTAGAAGGAACACCACATCTTACCTGCGTCATGTCTCCATTGTTAACATCGCCGTGTCTCTCCTGATTGCAGACATTTGGTTTATTATAGGGGCTTCTATTTCAGAAGCATCGGGTGATAACCGTGACGCATGCTCTGCAGCTACATTTTTCATCCATTTTTTCTACCTAGCCATGTTCTTCTGGATGTTAGCCTCAGCCCTCCTGTTGCTTTACCGCACAGTCAGTGTCTTTGATGGAGGTTTGTCCAAAAGATCTATGCTGGCTATTGGATTCTCTGTAGGCTACGGAGGGCCTATTATCATTGCGGTCATAACTATAGCTGCCACTGCACCCAGTGAAAGGTACACACAAGGTATATTCTGCTGGCTCAACTTTAAAGAGTCCCTCGCCATAATAGCCTTTGTGTTGCCTGCTCTGACGATAGTGCTGTTTCACCTCATCGTCTTGATTGTGGTATTATTCAAAATGCTGAGGAGAAGGGCAGTGACAGACTCTGCCCAAGCAGGTCAGAGGAATGTTTTATTGCTTATTGCAAGGACCCTGGCTGTCCTCACACCATTATTTGGATTAACTTGGGGTCTGGGAATTGGAACCCTGGCCGACCCAGAAAATCAAGGCATCCACATTGCTTTTTCATTCTTCAATTCACTGCAGGTATGAATACTATAGTTAAACATAACTGTGTGACATTCTGTATAATTCTAACGCTTTTGATGTATTTTGAATTATGAGTGCGTGTTTTGTCATTAAAGCCTTGTGATGCCACTGTGTGCTTTTGTCCTTAAAGGGTTTCTTCATATTGGTGTTTGGACTGCTGCTGGACAAAAAGGTATTTACGACTCAATATTCACATTTGTATTTAATTGCACGGTTAAATACTAGATGAAAACATTCTGAATTATAGTTTTCCTTTGCTTTTTTCCCTGTCATTGCAAAATGTGCACTGCAACATGTGCAGGTAATACACTGACAACAACAGAATCTCCAAAGAGATTAGTATTCGTCAATCAAAGTCAAGTCGAGTCTGTAGCTGCCGAAACTTTTTATTTTACATTTTTTTTCTGAGATACATAGTTATTTTGACAATAGTAGTTATACATGTGGTTTTGTTATTAGATAAACTAGAGATCTGATTAAGTCTAATTTTTCTAAGCCCAACACCGTGTCCTAACAGTAGATATTGCGATGCATCGCGCATGATCTCACGCTCGCTGTTGTTGGGGTTTTATCTAGTCAAATTTGGTTATATTATTTATACTTTACTTTACTTATTTAATTATTAATTCATATAAATAACAATATTATTAAACTACGTTTAATTAACTTGGTGAGCACCATTCTGAGATCAGAGTACAAATAACCAAATATCACTAAATTCAGTCTCAAATTAGTTAATGAATTACTAATATTATAAATAATTAATAACTGTATTTAATAAATTGAAGGCGTGAAATCCGTACACAAAGCCCTCGCACCCAGGTTATTTCACAATGCAAAATACACCAGTAATCACAAACAACTGCTCTAATAAATTATAACAAAATTTATTTAACAAAGACACATCTATGAAGGCAGATATGTTGCAAAATAGGAGAGCTTGTAGAATGTGATGTGAGAGCTTGTAGAATGTGATGTGAGAGCTTGTAGAATGTGATGTGAGAACTTGTAGAATGTGATGTGAGCTTGTAGAATGTGATGTGAGAACTTGTAGAATGTGATGTGAGCTTGTAGAATGTGATGTGAGAACTTGTAGAATGTGATGTGAGCTTGTAGAATGTGATGTGAGAACTTGTAGAATGTGATGTGTGAGCTTGTAGAATGTGATGTGAGAGCTTATAGAATGTGATGTGAGCTTGTAGAATGTGATGTGAGAACTTGTAGAATGTGATGTGAGCTTGTAGAATGTGATGTGAGCTTGTAGAATGTGATGTGAGCTTGTAGAATGTGATGTGAGAGCTTATAGAATGTGATGTGTGAGCTTGTAGAATGTGATGTGAGAGCTTGTAGAATGTGATGTGTGAGCTTGTAGAATGTGATGTGAGAACTTGTAGAATGTGATGTGAGCTTGTAGAATGTGATGTGAGAGCTTATAGAATGTGATGTGTGAGCTTGTAGAATGTGATGTGAGAGCTTGTAGAATGTGATGTGTGAGCTTGTAGAATGTGACGTGAGCTTGTAGAATGTGACGTGAGAACTTGTAGAATGTGACGTGAGCTTGTAGAATGTGACGGGTACACTGGTCTTTCTGATTGTGGAAGCCGTTGACTGAAAATAAACTAGCATAGCATTGAATGAAAACACATAGAGGCGAACACAGCAATTCAGCAACAAAAACAAATGCAGCAGCTTACAGCAGATAATAAACAGAATGTGTAGTTCAGTCAACAATAATGCACAATTATCAGTTGTTATAAAATAAATGTTCCTGATCTATTCTGTGCCCAGACTAAAGCCTTAATTGGAATCACTTTTCTGGTGGCTGTTTCAAGGTTCGGTCAGTCTTCAATCTGTTGAATGTTAAAATCAACAGATTCAGGCAGGTTTCCATGGCAGATGAAAACAGATGGCAGCTGGAGTCAGATTTGAGACAAGAGCAATGCTCTATTCTTCTGGTGGCAGGAGTAGATTTTCCTTCGGGTATTCTTCTTCAGGTAATAGGGGCTGTCCGTAGCACTCCTGTCCAGTTGCGTTCACCGACGTTGACAAGAATAACTGGAAAAATCTCTCAGTGCTTGAACCAGATACACACTGATTGCTCCAAAACTTTTAAAACAGGCCTTGGAAGTATGTCATGTTGAGATGCGTGTCTCCCCTGAAGCTGGAAGCTTGTGAAGAGAGGTATTCTCTGGTGTAGGAAGACCACACTTGAAGAGGTAGAACAATGAGAGGCGGCTGCTTTTATCGACCCTACACTTAACACCTATGTGTTAGATGTTGCAGAGTATGCTGGGAGTGTTTCTGCAGGGCAGTTCATGCTGGGAGTAAGAGTCATTTAAGTACTCATACTCAGGCTTCTGTGGCTACAGGCCGGACCTTTGTTTCAACACATGGAGATACCAACACTGTCCTCACTGCAGCTGTTAAATATATATTTATCTGCTCCTTGAATTTCCGTTTCCCCTTGTAAACATTATAACATCATCTGGTGCTTTTATTTTGAAGGTGGACAAACTGAAGTGTTGTTCTTTGTATTGACAAGCTGTTTACTCAAATCACAAGACTCAGAGGCTCGACGATAAACGGCTCGACCTGAGCCGAAAAAAGTTTTTCTTCTGGTGTTGACACAAGTCAAAGGTCAACATTTAAATCATGATGTGGATTTTATTATTTAGGGGTAGGCAGTAGCTCAGTCTGCAGGGACTTGGGTTGGAAACCGGAGGGTCACCGGTTCATGTCCTGGTGCGGACCAAATATGGAAGTTGGTCTGGTAGCTGGAGAGTTGCCAGATCACCTCCTGAGCACTGCCGAGGTGCCCTTGAATAAGGCACCAAACCCCCTCCCCACTACCAGCTCAGGAGCGCTTGCTGTGGGCAGCTCCGTCACTCTGACATCTCTCCGTTAGTGCATGTCCATAGGATCCTGTTTGTGTGTGTTGCATGACTTACAGAGTGTAAAAAGTGATCAATAAAAGTAAATCTTAATCTTAATTAATGTACCGTTATCACCACTTTGTAAAACAAGCTAACAAGCTCTTTGAGTGAGGAAAGCAAGTGTCAGAGCCCCCTCCTCACCTACACGAGCAACAGAGAGGGGAAAAGAAGCAGGGCGTCTCGCAGGCAGTTAGAACACTCCAAGAGTAAATAACATATTTAAGCTGATTTCGCTGCTGACACTCGCTTGCGTAGTGTTGCGTGCTGTTAGCAGACGCTTTAATCAGGGGAAAAAAATACCTGGAGGGCAGCTTAAGAACACCTGATGACACCTGATTTAAAAACAAATCAAAGTAAACAAAAAGTCTTCAACAGAGCAATTCGTCCAACCTTTGGTAACCTCTACTGACAACCTAGAGTCAGATTAAAAAAGTGACCGTGTTAACTGATATCTTTCAAACAAACGCGACTGAAAGTGTCCTAACAAAAGCCTCTTTGTTCAGTTTTTGTATTATCATAATGTCAAAAATACTTATTTTAATGTAACGTCCGACAACCACTGACGCATTCAGCAGAAAGTCACCGAATAACATGATTACTCTATTAACCGTAACACCGGCAAGGACTTTGCCGTTAGCAGAAAGTCACCAGATAAAATGGTTACTCTATAAGACGTAACACCGGCAAGGACTTTGCCGTTTCTAGCTTTAAAAAACAGTGTCTCAGAGCCCACAACTAATGATTTATTTAAATATATCTGTTTAATTCGGTAGTCAGGTGATTAAATTAAAAAGCCCATGCTGTGGTTCTACAGTGTTTCAACATGTTTGCCCTCCAGCCCTCCACGCTGGTCATGTGACTGAAAGCTATGAATGGTTTACAGTGAGAAGGCAGACTCAGAGAGCAGAACAAACACCTAGCTGTGGGAGTGTCACCCACCTGGGGGAGGGGTTACTGCCCTTTGTGATGTCATGAAGGGAAAATCTCCAAACACACATTTTCTGAAAAGTGGAGCAGGCAAAAGACGGAGAGGATGGACTTTTTCTCATAATTGGGGGGTTTGTAGACAGGCTAGGGACAGTGTGGCTCAGTTGGTAGAGTCGTCATCTTTCAACCAGAAGGTCAAGGGTTCGATCCCCAGCTGAACAACATGTCCGATGTGTTCTTGGGCAAGACACTTCACCCTGCATTGCTTCAGTTGCAGTGTATGAATGGATTAGTGTTGTACTTACTCTCTGATGTACGTCGTTGGATAAAAGCGTCTGATAAATGAATTGTAACATTGTAACATCAGTGTTAGAAACACATGGAGAAGTGTTTTACATAATATGTGACTTTTAACAATATTCAACAGAGCCAAGTAATATGTATACAATAATAAGACTGATTTGTCAGCTAGCATATCAGCTCTGGTTTATATGTCAACCTTTTCCACCCATCAGTGAGCTACAACCATAAATAAGTCACAGTTCAAATCTGCCGCTTACTGAACTGCATTTCATCTTAGAAGTTGCCCTTTTACAAACATGTTTTATTGCAACATCAGACTTTTGGAGCTTTCAAGAACCAAGCTAATTTGTTGACGATTAATTTTTTCAGGTGCGGTCAGAAATAGCAATAAAGTCACAGATATCTGGAAGTGGCACCAGGGTAAGATATTTTATTTATTTTGTCGTTTTTCAAAGCTGATGGAAATATTGGGGTTACTAATTTCTTTGTTTACAATTATTCTTGTTTTAGAGCACCAGTGCTGGAAACTCATCGAGTGCATTTGGATTTCTCCGGCTCTGGAGACGAGGAAGAGGTAAAGCAGTAATTTCAAAAAAGAGAAAAAAGCTCTGTCTCAATGCTTCTGTAGTGTTTTCACAATGCCTCAGTTCGGTCAAAAGCCACGGTCGGAAACTAAACTTTTTTTCGCTGTATTAGTCCGTCTATCCTATTCTTGTGAGTGTAATATCTAAGTAGCAGCTGGAACGAATATCTTTAAATTGAGCATAAACTTCCGCCTGGACTCAAATGACGACCTTATCTGATTTTGGTAGAAGTTCAATAGTTACATCTCAAGTAGAGTTACGCTAAGAATTACAAAACTATACAAAGGATCAGCAGCATAAAAAAGTGAAGACATTATGTCCAGGTATATTTTTAGGGCCCAAGCACACACTGTAGGGTGCAAGGACCCTATTGAAACTGTAGGAGTTGTTGTTATTCTTGTCACAAATAAATCGCTTATTTGAGAGCTTCAAAATGCCTGAAACTTTGCACAAAATTCAAGAAAGCATAAAATGTACGTGTGATAGTGTTTTCGTACGTATGAAGCAAAGTGGCTTGGCAGCGCCCCCTAAAGTACAGCCCCTGAACTGCATTTAGTCTACATGTATGAACATTGGTACCCATATAACTCATGTCTAGGCCTACAAAAAATATATTATGACCATAGTGACAAATGTACAGTAAGTCCACTGAGTCCAGTACAACGTCCATTTTTGGCGATTCACAGGGAGTTTTATCTTACCTGGTACATATTTAATTCTGTTATCCAATGTTTACACCCATGAGAACAACATGTGTAAACTACAACTTAACTGATTGATAGCGGCATACACCTGTGAGGCGTTCCTTTACATTAATTACCCACAAACAGGGCTGAAATTAAACAATACTTGGATAGATATTCAGAAAGTTTTGTATTTTAAAGTTCATTTCCAAATACTGTGTTGGGGCCCTGTAGCCAATAAGCAGGTTAAGGTGTTTTTCTGATCCAGTGAAATATCTCAACGTGTATCAGAGAGACTGCCCAAATTATGGCACACCTTTATTCATATTTTTCAGTATAGCTACTCTGTTTATTCATTTGGTGCAACCAACTGGTGACATTTTTTCCGGCCAACTTTCGGTTTATAGTCATCTGCTTTAAACAACTAAAGACAATCTGATGTGTTTCCACAGCTCCACAAGCCAGCACAGCACTCGGTAGTGATTATATCAAGAGCGCTCTCTCTCTCTCCCAAAGTGCAGCAGGTCGACAGACATGGGCTGCCTTAAAAAGCTAGATCAAATTCATGATTTTTGATTCCATTAGTTTAGTGGTATCCTGATTTTGTGCACAGCTAAATATTCTTCCCTTGGTAAATTTATAATTGAGTAGTCACCTACCTTTGCATTGCACAAGTTTTGTTTACGATTAAAGGCCCATCTCGTATTGATGCCTGTCCCACATAAAGGCAGGATCATTTTACAGACTCAAGGCAATAATTAGAGCCCGACCGATTAATCGCATATCAAGTGACTATCGGTATCGGCTAATTTGATCGCATAATGCGCTGATATTTGTAGCTTTATTCACCAGTCAAATAGAATTTCATTTGAGTTTAAGTGCATTACACTAGCAGTTCTCTTTCTGGCTGTAGAGTGATGATGCTTGTTGTAATCCATTTAGCACACTTTTCTGGTGTCAACCATTGATGGACGTAAATGCACAGTTACTTTCCAGTTGTGTTTGATAACTGAATTTGAGGGATCAATGCAATATAAGTGTATAACTATCTCTGCGAATCGAAGATCGATCTAAGAAAGGTATCAGCCAATATATCCGTGTCGGATGTTCTTTCTCCCCCATATTGATATCGGCCCCAAAATTCCCATATTGGTCGGGTCCTAGCAATGAGAGCCCGAGCTGTTATTTTGAGTATCATTCAGATTGTTGTAGATTTGTCATTGAAACAAAGAAAGCTCATCACTGTGAGCACCAAGCAGTAGCACTACAGCGAAGGTTTAGCCTCACAAGGAGCTGGGAAGTCTGTGGACTTGTCTTAGTATCAATCGTTTTTCTTTCCTTTTTGGCCAACGACTAAACACTTTATTTTGTTGCTGTGTTTTGTTTTTTTCCAGATGGTAACAACATCTCATCCAACGACTCTAATGTGACTCAGTCTCTCAACACTTAATAATGTTTGCAGAGCACTTCAACCAGTCCACTCTGAAAGACAACCAACGGAGCTCGACCCTTTTTCTCCAACGTTACGACAACTAATCATGAATACGGTTTTCTTTTTAAAGCTGCTGCACAGCTTACAACTCTGTTATACATACAAGCATTTATATATATATTATTACATTAATTTATGTTGGATAAATAGTATTATTTTCTTTGAGAAAGGAGTTTCATGTACTTGCTATAGGTCAGGAGATATACTCTGGAAAATGTGTGTCGTCATTCTCATTTCTGACCACTAGAGGCAGAAGTGCACCGATATTTTCTTTCAGGTCCATATGGTTCTTGATGCACTTAAAAAAACAAAACATGTAGCTACATATAAAAGGCATTAATCTTAATAAGTGATCTTATATTACTGTGTTTTTGTCATATAATAAATACTTTTTGAATGCAGAGACTTTAATAACCTGTTTTACACACACACACACACACACACACACACACACACACACACACACACACACACACACACGTGTGGTGGTGACTGAGTCTGCAGAGACTTTGTCCTCTGACTGGATTTTGATGTTTTGGTTTGCTTTTGTTGACTCTGGCTGGTTCTGGGTGGGGAGTTATTGTGTTTCCTCCAGCCAATGATAGCGCTCAGATGAGTTTAGGAGTGGAAACAGTTCAACAGTTGGGTTGAATCATCAAATGTTCTGAAAAAAATGGGGGCTGTTCATTACTATGCTCTTCATGATTACAGTAAATTTGAGGTAATTTGATTGAATTATGGGTTTTTTATTGAATTTACTAACATCTGTTGTCCTCTGGGGTTAAAATGACCCCGCAGTATAAAGTGGTGCAATGGAGCAAATGATCACACCATACTGCTTTCCAAAACATCTTTGATCTTGGATGTTTGATGTTTGGGGTCAAGCAATAGTTATGACAACAACAACAACAACAAAAAACTCAGTTTCCTGCACTAGTGAAGTCTCTGACTGCATTAGTTTACGAGTAGAGAGTTGAAAGATTTACTAGTAAACTAGAAGACAGCAAAAATTCTTCATGTTAACTAGTAAGGTGCAAAATATCTACTTGTTAACTAGTGAGGCTCGGTATGGCCAGTCCTTTAACATTAAATGAGTCTGGCTGACAAGTGGCAATTTAGTTTTCACTATTGGAATTTACATTTCAACATGTCAAAATGTCATTTTGGTCAACATAGCAATAATGTAATTTTGACTAGTAAGAATTGCATTTTAGATATCTAGAATTAATTTGTGATATTTGCAATGTAAGAACAATTTTAAATATCATAAATAAACTTTGTCACTAAAATAATTGAATTTTTGATATCAAGAATGAACATTTTTAGTGGGAATTGAGTTGAAAATTACATTGTGGATATGTCGGCTTGGAATTCTAACATGTCAAAATGCAATTATTGATATCTACAATTTCTTAATGATTTAATGTTAAAAGGGCTTGCCATAGACTCAGAAATGTTTACTTGTTAACTAATAGTAGCTAAAATGTCAATTAGTAACACTATGGGGAGCAGTTTTCACCATAATAGTTTACTAGTAAAGCCCTGTACAGTTTACAAGCAAAGCCCCATACAGTTTACTCGTAAAGGAATAAGTGCCTCGATGTCCACTAGTTAAAATAGTAGGTATCTTTTTGGCCTCTGCAGCAGCTCCCCCTCACCCAGCAGCACCTCCTGGCCCATTACCCAAAACACAGATACAAATTCTGCCCTCGCCAGAGTGATCTTAAAACATTGGAAATGTGCCAAAAATGCAGTGCATATACAGATCATGCCAATACTACCTGCCTCGCATGCAGGCATGTAAATGAGGTCTTATTGGCCTTAAATCTCAAATGGAATAAAAAAAAATGGTGCTAATGTGTTTGAATGAAGTTGTTACTAGGTGTAACACAGAATTGGGTTTAAAAGTCCACTTTATATTCTTTAAATTACAGTCAAACCGGACGGGGTCAATTTGACCCCTGAGGGCAGCAGGTGTTATTATTTGCTGCCATTCATTTGGTTGCCTGCCAGTTGCCGCTCGTTGCCTGGCGCTCGTTGCCTGCCAGTAAGCGTTCTCATGAACTGATTTTTTTTAAAAAAAAATTTTACCTTGTCTTGAGACCCTGTTTTGATCAACTAACTGAACACCTAATGCTTCCAACTGCTTAGCTTGGCTGGTTGAATGATTTTTGTAATCGGGCTGAAATAAACTGAATGTAGCCTACACCTGTGGTAGCCCCCCCGCTCACAAACGTCATACAAGAACTCTAACTTTTACAAAAACTATTGCTCCTACCTAGTGTTCTCATGTCCTGATCACTGAGTGTTTTTTGTTTTGACCAAAGGCGAACACCGTGGACAAATCGGCGTTCTTTTTGTCTTCTTTTGGCACAAGTTACACTTTGAACGTACTAGTGACAATCAAACGGTAGCCTACGGCTGCTAGCACCGGCTAATTGTTTTTAGCATCGGATCCAACTTGCAAGCAGGGCTACTAACATCTCCCCTCCCGACAACATGGAGACTGTTTGTTGTGAAGGCTGCCTGACACTCTCACGTACTAGAGGAGAGGTTACCAACCTTAAAGAGAATATCCGCAGGCTTTCTGAAGAGCGTCAGAAGAAGGACCTGATGCTTTCCAGCTACATCGACTTAGCAGCCTCTCAGTCTAAGAGGATCACGGCTATGCACTCCGACATCTCAGATACCTTGCTGTGGGATCCTTTACGGCCCCGACACTCCTCCTCCCTCTCTTCCCACCACCATCACTCGCCTTATCATTCATGTGGGCACAAACGACACCTCTCAACAACAGTCTGAACTGACCAAAGAGCACTTCAACCAACTTTTCAAGCTCTTAATACAAACTGGTAAATCCATTTTCATCTCAGGACCCACTGCGCCTCTGCCCAACGCCGTTCGTTTCAGCAGAACCCTCTACCTCCACCACTGGCTGCAGTCCACCTGCAGGGCTCACGATGTGGCCTTCATTGACAATTTTAATCTGCTCTGGAACCGCTACTCTCTTTTTAAAGCTGACAGACTTCACCCAAACAAAGCTGGCTCGCACCTCCTTACTACAAACATCCAACACACAGTACAGTACACGCCATGCAACTGACTATCAATAAATGACGACATCAATACAGCCGATTCCCAATCTTCCTCTATGGTTCCAGCACACCCAACTGTTTCCCCCACCAGCCCCCCCCTACCATCCAAAGGTCTGCTCCTCCATCCTCCCAGCTCTCCCTGTGATAAACAGCTCCCCCCACTGGCCTCATCCCTCATTACCACATTCACTGACATTGTCTGCAATAGAAACTCTCATTACAAGAAGGCATCCAAATAAAAACAAAATCACTAAATCTGTCAATTTTTCAAATTTGTCAACCATCCCCTGTCAGCCACTCCCTCACTATTCACTCTGTAAATCACCACATCATAACCTGAAACTGGCTTTGCTGAATACTCGCTCCCTCAACAATAAAAGCCTCATTCTCCATGACTTCATAACCGACACCAACCTGGACTTCCTATGTCTCACCGAAACCTGGCAAAAACCCTTGGAATATTTCTCACTAAACCAAACCACACCCACAGGATACACATACTTGGACAAACCCCGCCCCAATGCACGGGGTGGTGGTGTTGCAGCCATTTACAGGAAGGACATTAAAACTACCACCATTCCCATCCCTGCATTTGACTAATTTGAACACATTGCTTTCAAACTCTCTGGTCCCACTCCCCTAGTCACTGCTGTAATCTATCGCCCCCCCCAAACCAAACCCTTCTTTTTTCAGTGATTTTCATGACTTTCTGAGCCAACTCTGCTCCATCTCAACTTCTGTTCTGCTCCTTGGGGATTTTAACTTCCACGTCGACGACACTCAGTGTAAAACTGCCAAAGACTTCCTGGACCTTCTTCACTGCCTCAACTTCACACAGCACGTCAACTTCCCCACTCACAGCCGCGGCCACATTCTGGACTTGGTCTGCTCCACTGGTCTCACAATCCATCAACTGTCAAGTCTCAACCTCAACATCTCCGACCATCTGGCTATAAACATGGACATTCTCATCCCTCTTCCCACTCCAAAACAAAAATGAAAGATCTCCTTCAGAAACATAAAATCAGTCGACCCCTCAGCTCTCTCAGCCTCTATTACCAGCAAAATCTCTTCCTCCCCTCCCCCCCAATTTAATAACCCCTCTGAACTCATCACCTACTATAACAACACACTCTCCTTCTGTCTAGATCAACTGGCTCCCATCAAAACTAAAACTGTCTCATTCACACACTCTGCACCCTGGTACACTCCCGAACTCCATAAAATGAAAACCTTGTAAACGCCAGCTTGAAAGACTCCACAAGAAAACTGGTTTAACAGTTCACTTCCAATCATACTCTGACTACCTTAAACAATACATGGAAGCTCTCAGCGCTGCCCGGTCCACCTATTACTCACACCTCATCCACTCAGGCTCATCCAACCCCAAGGCTCTCTTCTCTACAATAAACAAACTCCTCAAACCCAGTGACAACACCTCTCCCTCCTTCACAGCTGATAAATGCAACGCTTTTCTTTCATTCTTTCAATCATAAATTGACACCATTTACAGCAGCTTCAACACTCTCACTGTCCCCTCTTCATCCCTACCCGCATCCCCTCACCTCATCACCCAACCTCTGTCTCAGTTCTCCCGTTTTCCCAAATGAACTATCCATCATCACCTCTAGCATGAAGTCCTCCACCAGTATTCTCGACCCCATCCCATCCAGTCTCGTCAAAAACTGTCTCCCAGCCATCGCGCCACTCATAACCTCAATCATTAACTCCTCCCTCTGCTCTGTTTCAGTACTCAAAACTCTCAAACTGGCAGCCGTCACCCCTATCCTCAAGAAACCTGGACTCAATATGGACAGCATGTGCAACTTCCGCCCCATCTCCAACCTCCCCTTCCTCTCAAAAATACTGGAACGTGTTGTCGCCTCCCAGATCAAATGCCACCTCTCCTCCAATAACCCATTTGAACCATTCCAGTCCGGCTTCCATTCCCAGCACAGCACAGAAACAGCTCTCCTCAAAGTCACCAATGACCTCCTCCTCTCCTCAGACTCTGGCCTCCTCAACATCCTCATCCTCCTCGATCTCACTGCAGCCTTTGACACCATCAGCCACAGTATTCTTTTATCCCGCTTAGAACACTCACTCAACATCACTGGCACTGCTCTTTCCTGGTTAAAATCCTACCTCACCGACAGACAACAGTTTATCAACATCAATAACTGCTCCTCCTCCATAGCTCCTTTGTCCCAAGGCATCCCCCAGGGTTCGGTGCTTGGTCCCCTCCTGTTCATCATATACTTGCTCCCCCTTGGTAACATTATCCGCCAGCATGGTCTCCATTTCCACTGTTATGCCGATGACATCCAGCTCTACATCTCCACCAATTCAATCACCACTGAAACCCGCTCTACCCTAACAAACTGTCTCAATGAAATAAAAACATGGACGCACAGCAATTTCCTCTCTCTTAACTACGCAAAATCGGACATAATAATTATCGGCCCTAAATCCCTCAC